TCTGAAAAGGGGCCAGAGCCAGTGAGCATTTCAAAAGAAATATGATGCCTGGCTGGGTTAGCCCAATTCGCCCAGGCTTTCATATAGGCGGCATCCGATAACCACATTTTCCATTGTAATAAATCCTGTGGCTTAAGGCAAGCCCGTGCAACCATATGCCAGTCATGAGGGATCCACTCCCCAGAATTTGCCCAAGCTTTCAAAATCCCTATAGTATAAAGGGCTGTGGGTCCATACAAGTGGCAAGCCTTCTTTAGTTCCCTTAAAGCATTTAAATCTAATCCCTCATAGACGGGACCAGACACTTGTGTTCGGTCTATGGGGAAAGCCATAAATAGATCATTAGCCCCTTGCCGTCAGAGTTCCTTTTCGAGAGGTGAGAGAGCTAGGGAGGATCGTTTGAGAGGGAATAAATCTGTGGAGGGAGGTTGATCATCTTCAGTGGGGTCCTCCGTTAAAAGTGGAGGGGCCGTGGGTAACGGCCGGGACTGTGAAGCCGCGAAAACTTTTTTACTTTCAGTCTTAGCCTTTTCTAAAGTCTCATCATCTAATTCATATGTATGTAAAGAGTTAGTAGTTTCTTTAGCAACCTCAGCTGGGGATAACTTATCCCCAGTTTCCATAGTATTGATAACCACTCGTACTAAAGCCCAAATGGGCCAGAAATCAAGAGGAATCGTTTCACCCTGTCTCATAGCCTTCGAGACATTATTTTTCACTCAGATCCAAGTCTCCTCATCTAAGGAGCCTTCGTCCGGAAACCAAGGATTGTATTCAACTGCTGTCTCCAAACATTTTTCTGTGCGCTGCTTAGTAACTTTAGCTCCAAATTCTTTAAGAAAATGATGTATCGGGGCGCCTGGGTGGCTCAGTTGGTTAAGCGACTGCCTTCGGCTCAGGTCATGATCCTGGAGTCCCGGGATCGAGTCCCACGTTGGGCTCCCTGCTCGGCAGGGAGTCTGCTTCTCCCTCTGACCCTCTTCCCTCTCATGCTCTCTGTCTCTCATTCTCTCTCTCTCAAATAAATAAATAAAATCTTAAAAAAAAAAAGAAAATGATGTATCAACGCAGCAAAACCTGATGCTTTCGAATTTGATTGCCCCATAACCCTGTAATAAACTTTCCTACTTACCACCTTCTGTAGGGTTCCTATCGCTGGCCGATCACTCCTCGACGGGAGCTTCAGGTCCCTGTTCAGGCACCACTTGTTGACCTCTGAGAGTCGGGGACCTGGGGTGGCAAAGGAACTGAGAAAAAAAGATGACAGTATAGCGAGGCACAGGGGACCCCGAGCAAACAGCCCGAGGCGCCGAGGTTTATTTTCCATACTCTTATATACCTTCTACAGCAGGGGCGTATTAAGGCACATTCCTCCACGTATCCAGGATTAGTCAAGCACGTAAGAATCTTTAAAACAGAATAAAGGAACAAAGAGGGGAGTGCACAGCGTGCTGTTTACAGCTGGCTTCCTATCTACAAAACATCTTCTGCTGTGTACTTTAGAACTGACCACACACATTCCAAGAGCATTTCACTCTGATCCTTTCGGGTTATTTTTAACCCTGCAATCTCGAGTTTCCTCAGAGATCTCGGAGTCTGAGCGAACAGGCACCAGTGGTCGTTGTGGCGTTCTGTTTCCTACAAGCATCACCTTCTGTCATTCAAACCTTTTGCTTAACTGCCACCTATTCAGAATGGCCTTCCCTCACCACCCATCCAGAACCATCTAGAGCAGCACCTTGTTCTCTTCTGTTTCCCTTCTCTACTTTTCTTCCTCACACTTGTCCCCACCTCTCAGTCCGTTCCCTGTGTGTTCACTGTTTTGTGTAATGTCTGTCTCCCCTCTGCGCTGGAAGTCCCATGAGGGCAAGATGTCTGGCGCACGTCTGTGGTCCCAGCACCTAACACGGCTGTATTCAATGAGTACTTGATCCATGGGTGAATCAATCAAAGGTTAAATAAAGGGAGAAAATACCTTTGTTAGAAGCTCTAGAATATAAGCAGTGCCTGTATTCATTTCCTAGGACTGCTATATCAAAGTACCACCGACGAAGTGGCTTAAACAGAGTAATTGCTTGTCTCATGGTTCTGGTGGCTGGAAGTCCAAGATCAAGGTGTCTGCAGGGTTAGGTTTTTCTTAGGCTGTGAGGAAGAGTCTGTTCCATGCTTCTCCTCCAGCTTCTGGTGGTTTGCTTGCCAGTTTGGCTGTTCCTTGGCAGATAGAAGCATCACCTTGATCTCTACTTTCAGCTTTACATGACATTCTCCTGTGTGCATCTGTGTCCCAATTTTTATAAAAACACCAGTCATATTGGATTAGGGGACCAGCCTACTCCAGTATGACTTCATTTTAACTAATTACATCTGTGATGGTCCTGTTTCCTAGGAAGATCGCATTCTGAGATACTGGTGGGTTAGAACTTCAACATATGAATGGGGAGGAAGGAAAATTCAACTCCATAATGGTGCCTCATTTGTGTTTATTGTATAATGCATAAGCCATTCTTATGTCATTAAACAGAGAAGTAGGTTTAGTTACATTATCCTGGGCACCCAATGATGTGTTGGTTTATCACACAGATTACAAATAATGGGTATGAATTACTTTGTAATTTGGAAACTATTCATTAGGTGTTAGCATAATCAGTTGGGGGTGTTGATGAATTATTGATGTGTTATTGAGAAAGAACCAATGCCATGGATTTGCTGGTCTTAAAATCCCAGAAGCAGATTTTCCTAGCTGGGTCTGCGGACTGTTTAAAATATTAGCTAGTTCTTCTCTAATAATCAGACGGCTTATCAGCAATAATTGTGGATAATGGATTCATATTTTATGTACTCATTTGACAAACAGATACAAATCACTTATTATATGCTGTGAACTCTTTTAGGTGCCCAGAAAAATGTTAATTCACAAACAGCCCTCTGTTGTTATTATTTCTGTCATTATTAATTATTAATCTTATCTGGGAATAAGGGAACTGGGGCACAGAGAGGTTAAGAAATTGCCCACAGTCACACAGCTCCTGCATGGCAGAGTCAGGCCATGAAACAAGGCAGTCTGCCTCCAAACCTTTTCATTTGTAGAATGTTCCTTCTTCACAGAAAATCTCATGGAAGAATTCAGTGTTTGGCAGAACAAAGCAGAACTGCTTTGGTTCAAGTTGAGATGGCAAAGCCCTGTCTACGTAGCACCTCCCCTCCCCCTGGGAGCCCTGGTTGCAAAGCCCTGATCTAGGAAATAACACCTCTTGGCGTGATGCCACTTTTAAGCTGTCTTCAATCCACTCTAGCATAAAATAAATACAATTCTTTTCTCACTTTAATTAACTGATTGTGTTTTATTTTGAAAATTTTATCTGCCTAATCTACTTCTGGCAGAAATAAAATGCTAAGATGGATTTTCTCTGGGATGGTAATGCCATATGGCAATTTGGACTTCGCTGGCTTAAGTTCACCTTGGGTTTCTTTATACAAATCAAGGACTGTGATCACAAAAATTTCCTGAATCAAAGAAAGAAATGGAATTTGATTTCGTTTGAATAGAGTTGGATATAAGCTTTGCAACCAGATTGGCATAAACCACCCCCTCTGTTATAGGCTGCGTGTCTTCTGTGGTTATTAATAATATAAAAAAATAGGAGCAACGATATTAACCATTACCGTCCATTGAGTGCCTGCTGCAACCAAGGAACTAAAAACAAACAAACAAACAACCCTCAGTTTTACAACTCTAGGTGGTTTATCCTTATTTTGCAGATATGGGTAAGTTGAGGCTAAAATTTTATGTAACTTGTTGAAGATGGCCCAACCAGCAAGTAGAAGAGGTACAATGTTTTGAGAAATATCAGTGGTTAAGGAGCAGAATTCCTTGATATTAAGAATAAAAGGCACGGAAGAGAATATGTTTAGGAAATATAATGTGGGGCCCGAGATGATTTTCAAATTATGAAAGACTGTGAGAATGCATTTGGGATCCATTCCGAAGAGTGATTCATTCCTATCCTGAAATGCCTCTTATCATTTGTTAATGTACACAGTGTGTAACATACTAAAAAGAAAAAGAAAAGAATGCAAATCAATCAAATGGGACCGTGGATCAGTGGGGGATGGAACTGGAGAACAAAACAGAACTCAGACCAAATTGATTGTTCTGCTCGCCTCTATTTTCCCCCAGATTTTGCTCCCACCCTCTGCTACATCCTAACCCAGGAGTCAGCAAACCTTTTGTGTAAAGGACCGGATAGTAAATATTTGAGACAGTGCTTGCCACATATTTTCTCTGCCACAACCACTCAACTCTGCCTTTGTAAAGCAAAAGCAGCGTAGACAGCGTGTAAGTGAATGGCTGTGGTTATTGTAGAGTAAACCTTCATGTATGAACACTAAATTTGAACTTCATATCATTTTCATGTAGTACTTGTTTTGATTTTTGTTTTGTGTGTGTGCGTGCACGTTCATGTTGGACCATTAAAAAACATTAGAACCATTGTTTGTTCATAGGCTGTGCAATAGGTGGGAAGCCAGATTGGATTCCCATGGTTTGCCGACCACCACTCAAGCTTGAACTTCACATTCCCCCCTGGTTTTCAAGCACATTGCTTCTTGTCTCTATGGGTGTTTCTTTTATTTCAAATTGCATATAAATGCTGTTTGGGACCAAGGACTTCATCCGGGAAGAGACTTCGAGGACCAAGTAGCAGAGGTACATGCAGCATATTCTGTGAAAGCTGACTTGCTGAGTTGCAAGGGCCAATTCGACTGCAGGCCACACAAAGAGAAGCCACTGTGGCTGTCTAAGAGGATTTACAATAAAATGGAAAATTCTTGGCGTCCTCTGTCAATTTCATTGAAGATTAAAGGATAAATTCAGGACTTAGAGTTATCCCAGTAGCTATCTAGTTTTAAAGTGATGCTAGCAAATATGAAAATTCTTTGTGTGTTTTACCAGCATGATCATTGCTAAATTTTAAATATTTTTGTTGTTTTTTTCTCACTAGGGAAGCCAGCCTTAATGTGATAGAAACACCCTTGAACTTGTCATCCAAAAGACAAAGGCTTGAGTTTCAGCTCTTAGTTTTGCGGTGACCTTGGGTAAGTTATCACCTACGGGAGTCTTGGCTTCCTTATCAGTAAAATGAGACAAATAATCCTACCTCACAGGGCTTTTCATTTTATTTTATTTTTTTCAGTTCTTTACTATTTATTAGGGAAATTTCAAACAGAACCAGAATAGAGGAGTCTAGTGAACGCCATGTGTCCTTGACCCACTTCAGTGATTCCTTGCATTTTGCCAGACTTCATTCATTTTTACCCCACCCCATTTTTTCTCTCTGCTAGAGCATTCTACAGCAATTCCAAATGTAGTATTTCAGTAAGTATGACTAACGGAAAAGATCTTTCTAAAGAATATCATAATTCTAGGGGCGCCTGGGTGACACAGTCATTAAGTGTCTGCCTTCGGCTCAGGTCAGGATCCCAGGGTCCAGGGATCGAGCCCCACGGTGGGCTCCCTGCTCAGCAGGAAGCCTGCTTCTCCCTCTCCCACTCCCCCTGCTTGTGGTTCCCTCTCTCTCTGTCTCTGTGTCAAATAAATAAATAAAATCTTTTGAAAAAAATCATAATTCTAATATCATACCTAGCGACATTACAACGACTCTTTAACATCATTTGTCACCCAGTCGGACTCTGTTTCCCCAGCTGTCTCAACAATGTCTTTATGTAACTGGTTTATTTGAATCAAGAGGCAAAGAAGATTCCTATATTGCGTTTGGTCATGTTTCTTAAGACTCTTCATTTGTGGCAATTTTCCTTCTTTTCTTCTGATCTTTCTTCATATAGTTTGTGGAAGAAACTAGTTATTCGTCCCATAAAATGTCACATAATTTGGGTTTGGCTGATTGCAACCTTAACCCTTGTAGAGTCATTGAACATTTTCCTCTTGTCCAGATACTTACTGTTCTTAGATACAGAGGCTTGATGAGACTCAAGTTCACTTTTTTTTTTTTTAAAGCATACTTTGTAGGTGATGCTTTCTATTTGTGATTGTACCACATCTAGAGGACAAAATGTCTGGGTGTCTCTTTCTACTTATGTCAAGATGGATTAGTGAGGTTCCTCAGGTTAGTACATCGACCTCTCACCTAGTGATTTTAGCACTGGTTGATGACTGGTTTCAGATCCATTACTTCATAAGGGGTTACAAAATGTAGGTCTTCTATCAATCCACTTGGATTTATTAGCAGAAATTCTTTAGAAAAAAAGAATCGACTATTTGGTCACCATGAAATATAATTCATACAGGAAAGGCAAGATAAATGCTTGTCAGTGACCCCTCACTCCCTCTTTTGAACTAATGTTAGTACAATGGTGGCCTCTCTCCATCGAGTTGGATGATAATAGTTGCTGGTGGTGGTGGTTTTTCTCCTTCACCATGATTTCAGGAATTTCAAAATCCTTTATATTTTTCAATCCTTCACAGTCATTTTTCTTTCATGCTGGCTTTTGTGTCTTATTTGAGTAGTATTTGATCACTTTTTGCCTTCTGGAAGAACAAGATATCTTGAGCTTACCTCGTACATTTCTTGTCCCAGACGTAAATCACTCAAGAAGCCATGGTTTCTTTTTAGTGGAAAATGGTATACTGAGACCACAGTCTGGGCACCAGGAGCGTTAACTGCTTATATTTCTAAATTTTTGAGTGGCTGGACCTAGAATATACATTTTTAAAAAATATTTTATTTATTTATTTATTTATTTATTTATTTGAGAGAGAGAATGAGATAGAGAGAGTACATGAGAGGGGGCAGTATCAGAGGGAGAAGCAGACTCCCCGCTGAGCAGGGAGCCCGATGCGGGACTCGATCCCGGGACTCCAGGATCATGACCTGAGCCGAAGGCAGTCGCTTAACCAACTGAGCCACCCAGGCGCCCTAGAATATACATTTTTAAGGGAAGATAAATCATTATTTTCTAGTCATCATTTCAGTTTAGATTGTAAGGTTTTTACAGAACATTTTTTGTTCTAACGGTAGGGGCCTTTTATTCTCAGAATCTTGGTTCTTAATGATGTTAAGACAATGACTTTGTGGCTTTATTCTACATCATGCATTTCTGTGGGTGAGTGCATGTGTATGCATGTACACATATACTAGTTTCAAAGTAGCAACACTGATATTTCCATTAACAATATTATTAGTGAGTATGGTTTAAGAGGGTTTCGCAATTCTTTTTATTCCTAGGGCATAGCACACCTGGGATAAATAGTCCCTGGCAAACGCTTTAAAAATCACTTCAAATAATCCATGTGGATATGTCACCAACTTGATATACAGATATAGTCACTTGTTTTATTTATTTCTTATCTTGAAGGATTTCATTTTTTTCTTTTTAATTTAGTTTTATTTTAAAATGAGGTAAAATAATTACGTTGTTCAGGGTCAAAACTTAAATCATAGATTTTCCCCTTCTATCCACCTCTCCCTTCTTTTAGAAATTATCATGCCATAGATCCTTTATATATCCTTTTCTGCACCATGTTTTTTTTATTGAATAATGCATCCTAGAGAAGACCCCATAGCAGTAGATTATTCAACCAGTCCTCTTTTTTTGGGTATTTCAGCTTTTCCCAACATTTTTCCATTACAAATAGTTCTCCAGAAAAAAAAAAAAAAAAAAATAGTTCTCCAGTAGATGACCTTTATAGGCTATTGAGAGTTAGATAAAGTGTAAAGTGATATATATATATATATATATATATATATATACACAATATATTATAGCAAAATCATATATACATACATACATATGATTTTGCTATAATATATTGTTTCAGTTCCACGGTCATTTATTAAGTAGTTATAATGTGCTAGAATATAAAGATGAATAAGATGTGGTCCCTGGTCTTGAGGTTTTACAGTCCAATATGATGTGGAGTAAAAAAGAAACATTTTACATTTTTCCTTCTCAGATAATTTGATTTTTTTTTAAAGATTTTATTTATTTATTTATGAGAGAGAGAGAGAGAGAAACAGCATGAGAAGGGAGAGGGTCAGAAGGAGAAGCAGGCTCCCCGCTGAGCCAGGAGCCCGATGTGGGACTCGATCCCAGGACTCTGGGATCATGACCTGAGCCGAAGGCAGTCGCTTAGCCAACTGAGCCACCCAGGCACCCTCACATAATTTGATTTTTATGCTTCTAATCAATGAATACTTCAGCTGGTGCTGTTTTCATATTAAAATAATTCCTGGATTTCTGGATCTATACAGATATCAGTAATTTATAATACTTTCTATTATATTTAATTACAGTGCTAATACAGAACTTCTTTCAGTTTATGAGCCATATTATCATATCATCAAAGAAGTTAGTTTTGTCTAATCGATTTACATTTCCCTAGAGCCAGAATTCACAATGACAACAGTAACAGGGACCACAGAGGTCCCCCCAATGGGTAAAAGAGAAGATAATTCTGCCTTGTATGAGTTCACATCAGCTCACGTTATTGAAGAAACCGAATATGTGAGAAAGGTATGCAGGTGCTGGGAATCATATTAACATGACATGATTTTTTAAAATGCAATCTGATATGGTTTGGTGGGCTTTGTTTCTCCCTCCATAGAACCTGAGAGGACACATTTGGCAAAGGACAATCCCAGCAGCTGAAATTTCAACATATATTTAGTAACCTCTCTTGAGGACATGAACCTCTGTTCCCACATGTGGAGTAAACTTGAATAATGGGCCAGAAGGTTCAGAACACCTATCAGCACTTAATTTGCCCCACACCATTCACCACTGTACTTCCTACCACTTTATATCATTTCTCAGTTGTTTCATGAGTGTTGATACTGCGTTCCCAAGTAGATGTTTACGAGTCTCGCTGAGTTTCTGTCTCTCCTTACCCACTTTCTTTTTACATTCCGGGTTGCTCTCCCCAGTGACCCATGTTGGCATGTTACTTCATTAAAAATGTGAAATCTTATGAGAATCCAGGGATAATGGCTGACAACAGTATATATTCTTAGGAACTGTTTCTTTGAACAGATAGAAAAATTTGGACAGAGATAGTTGGTAACTTATTCAGATCAATTAATTTATCTTGAGTGTCTTGCAGTTCCATAGGTCACTAAGATGTGGGGCTTATATTTCCTGCATAAATTTGTATGATCTCCTCTTAGTAATTATTCTGTAGTAATTACTAACTAGTAATTATTCTCTAGTAATTACTAGCTAGTAATTATTCTCTAGTAATTACTAGTTAGTAATTATTTTGTAGTGATTACTAAATAGTAATTGTTTTATAGTAATTACTAAACAGTAAATTAGTACTAAATTACTACATAGGAAAAATAGAATTAAGTAGTATTAAATACTAATGACTAAATGGTAATTATTTTTTAGTATAATATTCACTTAGGTTATATTTTAGGTTTGACTGAGAAAGAATTATAAAGACCAAATGTTCATTTTCTGCAATCTAAACCATATTAGCCTAAATGCAAGTCAGGTTAATGGCAGTTATTTAAATCTAAGATCAGTATTTATATATTACTTTCCAATTAAATCAGGTATACTATAGCTGGTATAAAGGAAAAAAGCGTTTGGCATTAAATGCCTTTGAAAAAAAATAAAATATTTTTTTCTTCTAGATCCGAACTACTCTGGAAAAGATCCGAAATCAAGCTTTTAAAGATGAAGTAGGACATAACAGTACACATCACAAACTAGAAACAAAGGTAATAAATGGATCAAAATGTACCACTTTATTCCTTCAGTAAGTAAACATAAAACAGTATAAACCTTATTTAAATAACTTTTTAATATAATTATTAAATTTTCCTTTGAAGCTTTGAATGATGAATGTTAAATATTTTGTATCTAAAGATGTTAATGGGCATGTGTATGAAATATTTAACCACAGATGTTATTAGTAGGCTCAGATTGGAATGACTAGACCTTACTTGAGTATTTTAAATGGGGCTTACTTATCTAAAGTATATGGGAAGATGTCAGCCCAGCCAGGATATATGGCAGCAGCGTTTCCCAAAGACAGACGGAGGTACAAACTTTTAGGCTCACAGAGTTGAAGCTGCTAGGCTTTTAGGTCAAGCAGTCAGACAATTGATAAACTTAAATTTCCCTCTCCCCTTCGACTGGCCTTATATTCTTAACGTCAAGCAGTCTACACTTAGCCTTGTCTGAATTCTGCAGGTTAGAGCTCATCTGAGCCAAGTGCACCTCATCAATGTCAGTGTTGTCCACTATATAGTATGGCCACAGAGGATGCAGATCACAGGGTCTGAGGCATAAACATTGTCCCCCTTCTCATTCTCGGTCTCCCAAACTAATACAACTAGCTCCAAGTATTTTCTTATAGTAAGTGCTCAGAAACTAGAAAAAAAAGGTTAATATTTGTGAATGGTGAAAAAGATAAAAAAATTCCATTTTGGTTCTGTGGAGTTGTTTATTAGACCTCTAAGTGGAGGTTCCTAATGGGTGCTGCATGTCTGATTCTGGAGTTGAAGGGTCTGGGCTTGAAGGTCCAGGCTGCAGGGCGGGGATTTGGGGCATAAGGATAGCATTTAAAGTTCTGAAATTGGAGGAGATCACCAAACATGTGAGTGTGGATAGAAATGACAGGGGCACCTGGGTGGCTCAGTCAGTTGAGCATCTGACTCTTGGTTTTGGGTTAGGTCATGATCTTATGGGTCCTAAGATTGAGGCCCGCCTCTGGCTCTAGGCTCAGAGGGGAGTCAAGGATTCTCTCCTTCTGTCTCTCCCCCCACACGGGCGGGAGCTCTCTCTCTCTCAAAAATCAATACGTAAATAAATAAACAAATCTCAAAAACCAAAAGAAATGACAGAAAATTTGAGCATTGAGTTCTGAGATATCCAACACTTAGGAAGAAGAAGAAGAAGAATCACCAGAGCAGGCTGGGGAAAGAAGCTAGTGAATTAGAAGGAAAATCAGGAGAGAGGGGAGTCACTGAAGACAAATGAAAAAGGGTTTCAGAAAGAGGGGAGGGGCCGCTGTGTCAGATGGTGCCTATGGGCCAAGTAACTGGAGGGCTGAACACTGACCACTGGCTCTAACAATGGGGAGGTTGTTGGTGACCTTGACAGGAGTAGCTTCTTAGAAATGGAGAGGAATTGTGTTGCTCCTGTCTGCCTTGGTCATCTCAAACCTCAGATGGTTAGCAGACAAATAACAGCCTCAAAGTACCTGCCCCTTCCCCTGCAATATCTGAACAATGTCCATGTAGGAATTTAGCTGTCGTGATCCTGGGCTTTGCTGCTCACCAAGTGTGGGCTGCGGTCCTGGGAATAACAGCAATATCAGGGAGGTCTTTAGAAATGCAGCATCCAGCAAAGAATAGCATGGAGCAGGTACTGTTTGGAGGGTAGGTGCAATTTACTGGGAAAAAAAAATTGTGTAATCGCTTCTAATTATACTCTCTAGAGATAACCGTTATTAACATTTGCTATGTACATCCTTCAGTTTTTTTCCTATGCATGCTTTTGTATATATGGCTATGTTTCTTTCCATAAAATGGTATTACTGTATATATTGTTTTACGTCCTGCATATTTCATGTAGAAGTATATTGCTCACATTTTCCCGTGTCAGTATATATTCTTCTGTGACTTAAAAAGAAGGAAAGAAATGCAGCATCTAGAGCCCCACCCCAGACCTCTTGAATCAGAATCTGCATTTAACCAGATCTGTCACCAAGTGACTCATATGCACATTAAAGTTCAAGATGCACTAATCCATGACCTCTGTAGCTATCTATTGCTGCCAGCAATCTGCCTTCTACAAGAGTCTTTCTATCAAGTATTCTTTAACAAATTAAAAAACAAAATAGGGGCGCCTGGGTGGCTCAGTCGTTAAGTGTCTGCCTTTGGCTCAGATCATGGTCCCAGGGTCCTGGGATCGAGTCCCACATCGGGCTCCCTGCTCAGCAGGAAGCCTGCTTCTCCCTCTCCCACTCCCCCTGCTTGTGTTCCTGCTCTCGCTGTGTCTCTCTCTGTCAAATAAATAAATAAATAAAAATCTAAAAAAAAAGAACTCTTTCAAAAAAAAAAAAACATATATACAGAGAGTGAGAGTATATAGTAGGGTCTGGAGTAGAGTAAATAAAACCCTGACAGAATTATAGTGACTATATTATTTATATGCACTATATTCTTTTTTGTCTTTTTGTTTTTGCTTTTATTTCTGTAAATGTAGCCCATCTTTTGTACTGAAAAGAATATTGGTTTTGTTAAACAGACTTGGATTGATTCTAATTCTGGTTTTGGTAGTTATTTCAGGTATAACCTCAGGCTTATTAGTGAAACACTCTCATCTTCAGTTTCCTTCTCTGTATAACGGGCACAGTGCCTTCTAGTGTTTTAAGTAATCAGACAAAGGGGTGTTGATAAAACATCTAAAAGATTACGTGGCACATAGGTAGATAGATGCTTATTAAATAGAAGCTATTATTTTATAATTGTTTCACGTAGGGTATGTAGAATTGTGTAATTCCTTCGTCTGTCTTGAAATAATTTGGAAGAGGAGAGAGCATAGGATGGATACTCAAGAGGCTTTTTCTTGAGCTCTCCCACGTACTGCATAAACCCAGGCTCAGTACCTCACTTTTCATGTCGTAAAATTGATGTAGTTGAGTCAGACAATTTCAAATTTCCTTTCCACTTCTGTGTGTCCTTGATTCCAGATGAGATTTATCTTATGCTCTAAGTGTATTTTCAGTGGGCTAGAGTTTACATTGAGTCACACTGGCAGTAGTATTCAGTTCTGACATCTCTGGAAATGTAACATGGGGTGATTACAGTGAAACATCATGGAACATTGAATATTATGTCTTATAACTCTTACGTCTGATTATATTCATTTGTAATACAATGTAACCAAAATGCACTTATGTCTGCAACTTAGATAAAAAAGGAAAAAAGTTGGCCTTGTGGATATTATTTATCTCCTAAAAAGGACTTCATGGTAAATTTAAAACTATAAGAAATATAAAAAGTATAAAAGATGTACCTCTACCTTTTTTTGATATAAGAATCTAATCAAATTTGAGCAAATACAGAGGTCAGCTGCTTCATCTAGAATTCCCTATTAATACTTGAAATTCAAAAGATGTATTTTATTTGTGCTGACCTGAATCTTTTTTGGTATATGTAATAGTGAGTGGTAATTACTGTTGTCAAAGTTTGTAGAGGAAAGCAATAGTCAGGTTGATGATTTTTGTGTGTTTTTATTTCAGCACTGTCGAAACATTCAAAATGGCTCTGATTCTGAAATGGACCCCTCTTGTTGCAGTTTGGATCTGCTCATGGAAAGGATGAAAGGAAAAGAACAGCAGATCTTAGAAATGAACAAAGAAAATGAAGTATTGAAAATCAAGGTATGGCTATCAGGAGAAATTTCTTTTTTTTTTTTAGATTTTATTTATTTATTTAGGGAGAGAGTGGGAAGGGGCAGAAGGAAAGGGAGAGACAGAACCTCAAACAGACTACCTGCTGAGCACGGAGCCTGACATGGGGCTCAGTCTCCCAACCCTGAGATCATAACCGGAGGCAAAACCAAGAGTTGGATGCTTAACTGACTGAGCCACCCAGGTGCCCCTATTAGGAGAAATTTCTAATTTTGTATTTTTGAGCCAATAAGATAGTTTCATGGATGTGTAAAAACAGACATCATTATACATCCACAGATCCACACGTATGTTCACCTATGTAGAGAAACGCTTTTCCATTTCATAAATTAATTCTCACTGTTTTATTTTGGAGACTACTTTACTATTGAAAAGATTTTACACAAGTTCAATGGGTATAAAGTTTCAGTTGTGCAAGATGAATCAGTTCTAGAGATCTGCTGTGTTGTGCTCGTAGTTAATACAGTGTCTTACACTTAAAAATGTGTTAAGAGGGTCAGTCTCATGTTAAGTGTTCTTACTAAATAATTTTTTAAAGTCTTTCATGTTGAATAAATATTAATTAGAGCACTCAAAGTCAAATGTCTCATTATTTTGTTTAATCTATTTTTGGATGCTTTATATTTTCTTCTTTTTCTTTTTTTCTTTTTTTTTGGTTTGTTATGTATGCAGTCCTGCAATGAATATCTCTGTAGGTAAATCTTTGTGGCCATTCCTGATTATTTCTGTAGGTTAAGTCCCTTGAGAGATTCATGACACTCACCCTTAATCCTCACATCTTGTCCCACTGCTATTTTAGGAAAATACATCTTTTAGGACTGTTGTGGACATCAATGATAAAGCACAAATAAGTGTATAAGCTGATAAAGCACTGGTAGCTCTTTGAAGGGTGCAGTTTATAAATGTAGCCCATTGATTTTGGCGCTTTGGATTGGCCTGGCCAGTGCAAATCCTTAAATAGGGCGTTTCTCATTTTACATTTTCCTCTTAACCAGATCGTAGTGTCTTTTCTCCTATCTATTGTCTAGGAGGGTGCAAATGGTACAGTTACAGCCTGTTTTCAACCGCCTATTAAACTGTTCTGCCTTTAACCCTTTTTGCGTAAACATCAAAACATTCATGACCTCTTTTCCCAGCTGGAAGCCTCCAGACAGGCAGGAGCAGTGGCTCTGAGAAACGTGGCCCAGAGATTATTTGAAATCTACCAAACACAGTCTGAAGAAGTTAGAAAGAAGCATGAGGATGGTAAACACTTACTCGAGGTACTACTAAGCTAGCAGCTTGTCTATTGGAAAACTAACACCCCAGTGTGTGTGTATGTGTGTTGGTTCACAAATCTCTTTTTGAGGTTAGGTGTAAAATAAGCAATGGCCCCGTGACTTTGGCAAGCCTTGGACACGGCAGGGTGCCCATCTTCGGTGCCAGTCTCTCCCCACCCCTGCTTAGCCTGGCACCCGGGCGTTGCCCAGCTGCTGTGTTGCTGCTGTTGCCCAGAGCCCTGTGGAACACAGGTGGAAGGAGGCGGTGCCCCCCTGTCTGGAAATCGGGGCTGTCCCGGTGACACTGGCCAGTGACTCCTCTCCTGGTTCTGCTTTTGACTAACTAGATGACCTAGGTAGAGTTGTTCTCCCTCTTTGCGGTTGGATTTCCGTGTCTCTGCAATGAAAGAATTGGGCTAGATCAATGGTTTCAAAATGGTTTTGACCCTAGAATATATTCTTCAAATTAAAAAAAAGAAAAAGTGTGTGTACCTTTATATTTTAAAATACATATTTCATATTTTAACATATAACTATAAACTAAAATATTTTAAACACATAAGTATGTATACATGTGTATATATGTGTGTGTGTATCATAAACATACACACATGCAGACACACCCAGACTGACACACCCATACTTTTTTTGTTTTGTTTTTAAATCTGAAGTGTACATTCTAGGACCAATAAACCTTTATCTGGAGAATGTATTCTAGGACTGGAAAAGGAAAAAACAGTGTGTGTGTGTGTGTGTGTGTGTGTGTGTGTGTGTGTGTGTGTTCATCAAAACTCAAAATAGGGAAGCTCACTAAAGCTGGGGTGGGATGCCTAGGCCTCTGTGAGCTCAGGCCTTGCAGAGGTCCCCAGGGGAGCACAGTAGGAAATCCACTGGGCAGGTGATACACCTTCATGCTGCTGGATGTGGTGGTGATGGTCAGAAACTCGCATGCATGCGAGGGTGCAGATAAAGAACCTCAGTGAATGAAGCAAGCAGTCTTGTGTGGACCCAAGTGCTCTGTGTGAGTGAATGGTTGGCCTGTAGGGAAGGGAATGCACACAGGTTCTGCAAAGGGGGCTCAGCCCCGGCCTGAAGTTGCCTGGCAGGAATGCCCAGCTGGGGTTTCCAAGGGAATGGAGCTAGACACTTTTTTCTGCTGGAAATCTCAAGTTTTATGAAATGTAAATGTTGATGTGTGTGTGTGTGTGTGTGCCTGTCGAAGTCAGTTGAGACACTCCCACGTGTGGCCTATGAGCTGCCAGATGTAGACTTCACTTCTATGGTCTCTAGTACAACTCAGGCTATGGGCCTCAGAAATAGCCCCCAACACAGTGGGGATCATTATTCTGCTTTTATGAAACTTTCTGATTAAAAATAAAACACTAAAAAAAACTGAAACATTTTTTACTGGAACAGTAAAAGATTTCATTTTTGTTCTAATTCAGTTTCATTGAGAAAAAGTCAAAAATGTCACTTTTCTTAAATTAGCATCTCTCTTATACCAGTTGGGATAGCATGATTTATGGTAACACATGTAAACATTCTAGGAATAATACTAATATATTATTAATTCTACATTGCTTTAGTTTGTTGCAGCCCATTAATTCAAAAGAGTAATTTGAATCAGGTGTGAATTATTAAATTTTTTTGGCTACTCAACATTATAGAGGGAGAGAATAGCTGTATAAATTTAATAAAAGCAAGAGTTTGACAATCGTTTTTCTGACCAAAGGTTAACAGACTCGAAAAGGAACAGCAGTTGAAGCAACATGTTGAAAGTCTGAATCAAGTTGCTGAAAAGCTTGAAGAAAAACATAATCAAATCACAGAGCTGGAGAACCTTGTACAGAGGATGGAAAGGGTGAGCCCCTGGGGATTTAAAGGGATTTCTTCCAGACAGGGTTAGGGAGAGAATGAAAGAAAATAGCACTAAAATAAATATATAAATATTACATATGTATAAATATAACAAATTTATATAATTAAATATATTTATATAATAATATGTATATTTTATTTTATTGGGTTTTTTTTATTATGTTCAATTAGCCAACGATAATATATATATTTTAGAGAGAGAGCATGCATGCTAGAGCGAGCAGGGGGAGGGGAGGGGCAGAGGGAAAGGGCGAGAAAGAATCTCAAGCAGACTCCCTGCTAAGCACGGAGCCCGATGTGGTGCTTGATTTGACGACCCTGAGATCATGACCTGAGCCAAAATCAAGAGCAGGATGCCCAACTGACTGAGCCACCCAGGCACCCCTAAAATAAATATTAATTGAAAGTAAGTGCCCTTTGCAACAAATAAGACTTTAGAAAGTACTGAATAATATTAGTTCCTTCCCTTACACACTTAATATGATCTGTACGGTCGCTGATCAAATACTGCAGTCATATCGTCCTCTGTCACTTTCTCTCTCTGGTGTATGTATGGCTTAGAGAGGCGAAGCAGATGAGGCTGTGAGTGGAAACAATGGGAATGATCACAAAGTCCACCTATTACTAGTAATCATACAGTGGATCCCTGTAATCATAGCATTTCTACGTATTAGAGTCAGTGAAGTATCCATTCTTTGGCCACCCGAGTTCACTTTAGGATTGTGAATACCTATGGCTGCATTAGGACAGGTATAATTCACATTAAGAAAAGACATCCTCTAGGAATTGGAACTTCCATAAGAGACAATTTAGAAAAGAGTTGTGACAGAGCAAAAATTCTTAAAAATGTTATGCCATGTGCCTTCTTTGAGTGACTGACACTCCAAAAATATGCAAAAGGTGAGCCCATAAATTTAATAATGCATCCCTTAGAATTTAGAATACAGGCAAACCAAGGAACACTGGGTTTTTAGTGGCAAAACAAACTAATAGAAAATTGGGCTCTCTGAAACTGAATTTGGGCTAGATGAGAATATAGGCTTTGGAGGTGCCTAGATGCCTGGCTCATTCAGTAGAGCGTGACACTCTTGATCTCAGGGTTGTGAGTTCGAGCCTCTCATTGGGTGTAGAGATTACTTAAAAATAAAATATTCAAAAAAAAAGAATATAGGTTTTGACTGCTGGTAAATATTGCCCAATAAACTTTTATATTTACTATAATAATTCCCTGATTTGCCTTTTCCCTTCTCAGCCTTATTCTGTTTTATGTCTGCTTGAGTTGATGCCATCTGAGAAATGTCACTTCAGAAGCATCACATTTCAATATTCGGGTTTCTTGCCAAAGGAAATTTGATTAATTTTTTACATATTTCCCAATAATTTAATTTATAACACTGAGTTTGGTTGAATTTGTAGTGTCAATGAAGGTCCTATGAGGAAATCACAAAATTTAACTGAATCTAGTAATAATAATATATAGCTACATCTGTGTTGTGCGGTGGGTCACTGAATGTTTTACTGGAGCCAGAATCACTGGGCTAGAATGTCCTCAAGCAGCTGGTTTGCTGACGTGGGACAGTTTATAGTTAGGATATTTTGAACAAATTGTAACATTTGGATGACTACTTTGTAACATTAGAATATTTATCCTGTAATAAATGGTTTCACAAATTCAGCACAAAGAATGTTTGCATTTAGGAAAGGAAGACAATTCTGGAATGGAAATAGGGCTGATTAACCAGCTTTCATTTAAATTTAGACTTGTGATCACCTCAAACCCAAACCCAGTCACACTGGGTCAGGTTTAATAGCCAGCTGTGGAATATCATTTCTATTTCCTAGAAATCCTGTGAAATGGATGTGAGTTCATCTCAGAATTCTGGGTTACGTTCATTTGACTGTTAACTCAACAATTACTTGAGCGCTTACCGTGTACCAGTCAGAGCTAGAGGCTAGATATCTGTTTGTGAATGAACCAGGTATAGTCTCTTTGTGGAGACTGCAATGTAGGGTATCTGGGTTCTGTGGGGACTCGAGGAACTTCCCATACCTCTCTTCATTCATTCTCCTAGGGAGGCAAACACCCATATTTGAAGGTAGGGGAATGTACCCCAGAATAAATTTGACTGGCTTACATACTGGCAGACATTTTTGAGAAGTGATAGCCTAGCATTTATCTTTTTTTGTTGTTTTATTGCTTTTGGGGTTTTTTTGCATTTATTTTGATATTGACCCATAATGGTGGACTGTCTCTAGGTGCTCTGTGACAAAGTAAGTGGACAGGATGCCCATGGTTCATGGCCATGCAGACCCCTTCCTGAATATTCTAGTTCAGTAATTTCCTAGAGTAGAGCCTACTGAAATCTCAGGAAGGTGGAAGTAGGTGGGGATGGATGGAAGGGCACTGTGCAGGAGTTTTTTAGAAACATATTTAGTTTAAAGGGATGTTGTATCTGTAAAACAAACAAGCAAATAAATTAAACTACATCTTCTTGTTTTAAAGTAATACCGAGAATACTTCTAAGGCTGTGATGAAGGGTTCCTCAGGTGGCGGGGTGTGTATCAGAAGGAGAGGAGGGGGAACGCTAGATTTTTGTGTTAGTAGGAGAAAGACATGCGTTGAGAAAGGAAATGAAAATTAAAAATGAATGCCCACGCAGAGGCTGATAAATATTGCCCTGGTAGTCGGTGGCCCCTAGAGAAGGATTCGTTTTCTACTCACTTGAACAAGCCACTGCTCCAGTAAATGGCCATTAGTGGTATGAGGTCTGGTAATGAACACATTACTTAAAACCTTCACCATCTGTCCCACTTTAATCAGGAATGCAGTGAGAATGAATTCCGTAAACACAGTGATAAGCCAGAAAAAACGCCCAATAAGTGCATTTTAATACAGCATATGTTCCTTTTGCTAGCAGTGCAGTTCTGTTGCATCATATTTGTTTTCCGCTGTCGTTGATTTAGCTCTATTAGAATTTTAGAGCTCAGAGGTGCTTTTGAGACCGTCTAGTTCCTCATTCACCATTTTATAAATGAGGGCAGTGGGAACAAGGAATGATTCCACTGTCCTCCAGTTACCAGTTCAAAATGCTTTCCATTATGCCCCGATCTTCTCTGGTGTCGGATAAAAATGATATAGTTGGTTCCTAAATCATTTAGATGTTAACAGTGGCAATCATTTAAATTGGTGTCTTCTCCACTTTGATCAGTAGGGCGAGGGAGCTCTTGAGCTCCCGAGTGCAGCAGTTTTGGGAAGAGTGCATTGCCCACTGGGTGGTGCTGTGAACTCCTTCCCTCTTCCACAAGACACTGTCCCTGAGAAAAAGGGCTGGACAGTACGGTGTGATTTTCCGTGTTGTCCGAGAGGAAGCATTAAGAGCCCAGGCTTCATGCTGGAACCTTGGCCAGGGCAGAATGTTTACTTGTCCAGTTGTCCAGTTTGCTTGAACCCTGGTTATGAAGATCCATTAATGGAGAGTAAGCCCATTAAGAAGAATGTTAAACACCATTTTCCTCCCTACAAAGTCAAAATATATTATCAGGGTTGTGTTTCTTTGATGATCCAAGTATCAGAATAAGCTTACAAGGCATACCTGTGATCCCTCCAAAATAAGTTAAACACAGCTAGGGAACACAAGGGAAATTCCTATATGTGACAAGAATGCTACAGGAAAAAATTGGAAAAATTAATATAAACTTAAAAAATAATAGCGCCTAAGATAGGGAGTGTTTGGCGCCTTCAAATTATTATAAATCAAGGTCCTAAAATGTACGAAAGAAGCATGTGGGCCTTTCACATATAATATCTCCAGCCATCCCAACGTTTCAATATAGGTAGTATTATCCCCATTTTAGGGATGTTCAGAAAGTCATGACTTAAACAAATACAGAATGAATACATGTCTGATATTTTACTCAACTCATTCATTAATAAGGGAAGCAGTAAGATGGTAAAGCTGGTTTAAATAGAAGCTTTTCAGAAACTGGGTATTTATAGGCATTTTGAAAAAAGGAATATAGGATCGGATTACTAGATTAGATACAAAGCTGGTTAATTTTTTTGAAGACCATCAAACCATAACCTGAGGGATTATCTTTTCTACCAGGCAGAAATCTACACATGAACATTCAACTTCACAGAGTCAGGGCTCTAATCAAATCATAAACAATAAAGTCAAACACAGAGAAACTCTCCATGAGAATTGGTTATTCAACAATGACCCAATATGACATTAAAATCATATATGGTTTTGTTTTCCAAGTTTTGGCTAGTTTTTCTCAACAAACATGTTACAGTCACAGTTTCAAAACTAGGTCAGTCCATGTCCAAAGAGATTCCCACTGCATTTTGTATTTTACCCATATGAGTACTGCAGCAGGAATGGTTTTTTTTTTTTTAGATTTATTTATTTATTTATTTATTTATTTATTTATTTATTTGAGAGCAGGCGAGCACGAGCGTGGTAGGGGAGGGTCAGAGCAAGAAGCAGACTCCCCGCTGAGCAGGGAGCCCGATGCGGGACTCGATCCTGAGACTCCAGGATCATGACCTGAGCCGAAGGCAGTCGCTTAACCAACTGAGCCACCCAGGCGCCCTGGAATGGTTTTAAACAGCCCTGTAAACAGTGTCAAAACATCTCTTACCATCAAATATTAAAAGAAAAAAAACCCACAATCATCCCACCTTGGTTTTTCATGGACTTGTTTTTTTTTTTTTTGAATGGGAAGAATTTAATAATGACATTCAGGTATTTCTTTATATTTTCTTTCTCCATGTCAAAATTTCTCTTATATTCTAACTAGGAAGTGACTTTATTGCCTGTGGCCTTGATCCTTCACTAAAAAGGCATTTACTACTTTTCTACTTTCTGACAGATGCCATGTGAGCAGGTAGGGTATAAGGTCAGTAGTGTCCTTGGATACCAGCGACTTGGTCTAATGTAGGAGAAGCAGGTGGGATGGAGGAGAGCCAATGCCTAGAGAGATGAGCTGCCAGTTTGTATTCAGGGTGGGATGGAGAGAGGCAGGAGTTTGACTGAGCACGGTATACTTCAGTAGGTGGCTGGAGGAGGAGCAAAAGCTCTGCAGGCAAGTGAAGGGAGTGAAGACAACGGGTCTTGACCTGTCCCTGAGCTACTTGGAAACCACACAGGAGGATGCCTGGCCAGGTCTCATTGGGGTGGTTGTAACAGTGGCCGTCTGAAATGAGCTCTTTAGCTTAACACATATTTTCTAATATTATAAGAAGTGTCTTTTGCAAACAGTTTGCAAGAGTGACTTAGCAAACACATGCACACATGCACAGAAATAAATAAAATTGTATTTTATTTTCTTCTAGGAAAAGAAAACACTGCTAGAAAAAAAACTGTCTTTGGAAAACAAGCTGCTGCAACTCAAATCCAATGCTACATATGCTGAAAGGTTTGCAGATCTCCCTCCTTACTAAAGCAGTTCCTGATACCTTTCCTCTCCGATGGTCCACTGGCCAATGGACAGAAGGCTAGCACCCTCCCAGGAGACAGGAAGGCTGAAGGGGCAGGACAAAGGGACATTACTTAATATTAACAGCCACGTGCCTCCCCTCCCTCCCACTGGGGAGAGTTCCCTGGAGGTACTGGGCAACTGGGGCAGGGTTAATCCTCCTGAAGAATGAATGAGCCTGTGCCTTCCCTGTTGACCCTGGGTGCTAAAGAGGATGCTTCATTCCCCCTGAGGCTTCTGATTTTGTTAAAGGGTCTCTGCTATAACATGCATCAAATTGGCTAGCCCACAAGTGGAACTGTAAGATCCTTTTGTGGTGCTCCCCAGCTTTGTAGAGAATGAAGGAACTGCTCAGTGCATCCTTAGTTCTTTGGACTTACTTAGGAATACTCATAATTCACAAGCTGTTGACAGCCCTGAGTACAGGGCTGGCGGGGATCACGGTTATCACCCAACTGCTGCATTACTTCGCTGCTTTTAGAAAAATTCTCTGGAACATCATGTGACAACTGATAACATATAAAAATTCCTCACTTTTGTCCCCCTTCCCTTCCCTTCTCTTCTAATTCTAAACCTGCCACTGTCATTATAGGTTCTGATATAATGCTCCAAGTCAAGCCTATTTTGAGGTCTTCTTTTATCCACCTGGAACTATTGCTTCTTAGCATATAAAGCACTTTGATGCTCCTCAGAATGTACAAATTCTTACTCTCATTTATCCAGTAATATATACTCAAACATCCCTCTCTCTTGGTCTTTGATTTTTTTTTTTTTTTCTGTTTCTCGTTCCTTTCCAATTATCTCTCTTTCTCTTCTCATCTCTCCAAAGCTTCTGCCTTCCGTCTGGCTCATAGTCATGTACTGAACCACATACGCCAAAGTCCAGACCTGGTCTGACCCTAGCAATTGCACTTACATATTCAGCACACACTGGAATACCACAGGCATTAATTTACCCATATTCTTCTTTGTGAACAAGCATGTGGCCCCAGTAGGGAGCTTTCTAAGAGAGTGCAGGATAGCACTGCTCATCTCTGTCGGGAATGAAGAAGTACCGTGGAAGACATTCATAGGTCTTCAGAATGACTTGCATATACTCATAACTTAACTCTTAAGTAAATCTGTGGGTTATGTTGGGTTTTTTTTTCTTTTCTTAAAAAGAGCCTGTGCCTACAGCAGAACTACTGGCTGGTACACTATGCTTTCCATCAAGAGTCCAGACAATCTGAGTCTGATTTTTTTCCCTTTAAAAATGATTTTTATTGATAATAGGGTTTTTGTCAGTCTTCGAGCCAAAAAGGTAACCATTTTAAAAACCAAACTGAACTGTTCTTTCTGTTCTATTATATATAAGCAGTTGTTATAGGGAATTCTCAGAAAGCTCTTAGGGAGGATTTAGAAATGTCTTGAGGGAAATGGATGTTTTGTGTTTCTAGAAAGGTGTTTGAACATCCAGGCTTATGCAATTTTCATAGATTGTAGGCATCACAAATATTTATCTTACTTATTATTTGTCTGTGTGTAGAGGTATTCACTCTGCTAAGTGACAAGAAAATGAAATCAGTAGGAGTCAGACTCTTTAGGTTAAAGCAATAGAGACTTGGTAAAGCTACCACAAATAAGAGGATTTCTGGTAGGGGAAGACTGATTAGATATGGCCATAAAGAAGATGCATCTCGTGGGAAGATAGGAAGACCACCCTTTAGCATCTAATGTGTTCTCAAAAACCAGATTATTTTGTTGCTCCTATTCAGTTATGTGTATTCATACAGTTTCACTCTTTCTTGTTCTTTGTTTTTCCTGTGTGATTTATTAACTTTTTTCAGTGGTTTTCTCCAGCTGGCTTATATTCTTCATTTTCCTTTCAAATTGCAGAGGAAAGAGTCTGTGGGCCTAATACTTACTTCCTGTATTGGGCAGATTGTTCATGTTCACCAAACTCCTACATTGTCATCTAACAACTGGCCTTTTGGCAGGCACCAACTCCCAGTCCTACAGGTGGCCTTCCCTTACCGCCAAAAGAGCCCCCTAATCAGGGGGCTCTGGGTGATTACATTTCCCTTGGGCAGGATGGTGGGTTTGACAGGTGCCATGACTTTCTGCCATTTTTTTTATATCTGTATGACATTTATTTATAGATTTTTCTCTCTATAAGCCTAAGTTAATTAACTCTTTAGTTCAGTTTAAACAATCTGTTTATTTATTTATTTATTTATTTAAATTTTATTTTGTCATGTTAATCACCATACGTTACAGCATTAGTTTTTGATGTAGTGTTCCATGATTCATTGTTTGCAAATAACACCCAGGCTCCATTCAGTACATGCCCTCTTTAATACTCATCACCAGGCTAACCCATCCCCCTACCCCCCTCCCCTCTAGAACCCTCAGTTTGTTTCTCAGAGTCCATCGTCTCTCATGGTTCGTCTCCCCCTCCGATTTCTCCCCCTTCATTTTTCCCTTCCTACTATCTTCTTTTTTTTTTTTTTAAACATATAATGTATTATTTGTTTCAGGACTCTCTGCCATTTTGATGAAAAGATTCAATATGTTCTAACCTGGCATTTCTAATATTAAAAAGCATCTCTAAAAATGATGACTTTTAAGTATTCTATAATTCAGGAGAAAATGACAGTTTTTTTGCATATGGATATGAATATATAATTATATTATGCTAATCCCCACAATTACTTTTAACGGGAGTTAAGAGATTTGGCAGAAGCATCTCATGAAAAACAAGGTTGACTCCATATTTCTAATAGCATCACTACTAGCCAACACATGTATTGTGCTTTGCTGTTTATAGAGTAACTCCAGGTACCTTATTTAATTTAATCCTTTCATTGACTTTTCAGGGAGGAAACTGAGCTTCTAATTGGTGAAGCGATTATACAGCCTCTCAGAAGTTGTAAGAGCTGGGAGTTTGGACTCTAGAATTCTCACAACAGTCGGTGCTCATTCTGCTATAGAGGAGATTTGACCTTCTCTCATTTCTGGAGACCTCTGGAGGCTTTCCCTCGGACTGGTTTCCTAATTCCCCTGGGTGTCTATGAGCAGATCGCAGTTTCCCAACTTGTCCCTCTGCCCTGGGACATCACAAACACAAAGGTCCATTTTAGAGTTATCCTTTGGAGAAATACAGGAGCTCTACCTCAGAAAAATCCTTCAAAAAAGGATAGAATGATGCCAGAAAACTATGAAATCAAAGCCATTGTAACAGTGAGGAGCAGAGGGTAAGGTATGGCATGGTTGAATAATGCTGCCCTCTGATGGTGTAAGTTAACCCAAAGATAGATTTTAAAGTATCCTGATGAATGGATAGAGAGACAATCCTCTCTTAATTCAATTTCCTTTGACTAAGTGTTTGGCAGACCTTGGTCATCAGAGTGATTGAGGGTATGCTTCTTGCCAAGTACTTAGGCTACAATCATCCCATATTACTAAAGGCTAAGCCATTTGTTTTCACATTTCTGCAAGTTAAAGATGGGATAGACTTTCTCTCTCTTGAACGTTAAAGAATCTAAGAGGAAGAATATCAGAAATGGTGCTCTGTTCACTCTCCCTCAGTGCCACATGGAGAGAAGATCCTCAGTTCCCTTCCTCAAAAGAATAGGACCAAGATTTTCCTCTCTTGTTGATGGGGCTTTTCTTGTTTGCTCTCCTTGGCATTTCCAGACTACAGACCTTTTCAGCTCCAAGTCTGGGATATATGAGGCAAAAAGAAAGCCCAGGGAGCTCACCATTGTGTTATGCCTTAGGTTCCAAGTCCTGAGCTGGTCTGCCTTCTCTTCACCTTTCAGAGCCTTCTTGTGTTTGTCTACATACAATCTCTAGGTTTTTGGTTGTACTCAACGGGAAGGGTAGGAAAAACACATCTACATCTTCCCGGAGTATAAGATTTTCAATTCTATTTTAATTTCAGCATTCACTTTATATTTATATTGAGGGATTGGGAGGCAGAGCATGAATCAGACATCTGTTAGAAGGGCTCGGTGTCTTTTTCTAGGCCTGGCCTTTGTAATATGTTTTCTTCCTGCTGGTTTTGCTTTAGGACCTCTTTATTAAGACTGAGTTGCTCTAACAGAAAGAGCAGAGACTAAAGGGAGCTCAGGTGGCAGCTTATTTCAGTGTAGTCTCACATTTAAAGACCTTTAATGGGTGATTAGTTTCATATTTATTGAACAATCCTAAGAGAGAATTTCTGCCACTTCTGTTAACCCCCGTTCTAGTGTACTAATGCAGATAAGTCTGAAAGCCCTGTGTTTTCAAGAGTGCCTCTAGAAATTATTTTCTTCCATCTTGAGACCTATTTCAGATTTCTGTTCATCTACAGTGACTTGTATGGTAATAACCATCACAGAATACGTGGGGTAATTTCCTGAGCTTTGTATTTTGAGGAGTGTAACATCTACCCCACCCCATCTTCCTAAAGCCACCCTTTTTTCCCTCTGCTCTGAGTTCTGGGTCATCATAGTACACAACAAGACATTATGAATACTCATCTTTAATATTTTTATAAATTTTTTTTAAATGTTTAATTTTCTTATGGGCTTATGAACAGTTAATGAATATTCAAAGCCAGCCTGCCTCTGTTAAGGCATCCTGAGTTATTTCTCCTTATTTCCCAGGGAAATCCTGAGTCTGACCGCTCCCTCCCTACTTCTCTCCTCTTTCGCTCCTCACTGGAGCAGTCTTGGATCTTAGCCCCACCGGCTGTGGGCTGGACTTCTGTTCGCCTTCTCTGCTGTTTTGATCCATATGTCCTCAACGCATTTTGTGTGTGTGCAGTATCTCTAGTCCCTTTCTAATTTTTCTGCTGGGGTATCTGTCATATTGATTGGTAGATGTCTCTTTATATATTCTGGGTACGATGCCTTTATTAATCACTTGAGTTTCTGAGGTTCTGAGGCGATCCCGTTCCCTCTTGTTTGATGACTCCCAAGTTTTTTATTTTTGTCTAGTCAAAATTCTCAGTCTTTCCCTTTGTGGTCAATACTGTTTTGAGTTCTGTTTAGAATCTTCGTCTATTGCACATTCACGAAGATGTTCTTCTGTATTATCTTCTGAAAGTCTTTTGGGTCCCCAGCTTTATTTACAGTCTACGTGGAATTTATTTTTCTTATGAGTTTAGGATGTTCATTTTATTTTTTTAGTATGGATATAGAGTTGTCTCAGTACCGCTTGTTGAAAGGAGCATCCTTTTTATAACATTCTGCCAAATCATCTTTGATACACATCAAGTCTGTTGGTCTATCCCTGTGATATATATGTATACGTACAATAAAAGTGGCACAGATATAGTGTAATCAATTTAATTAGTCTTCTATTAATGAACATTTAGAGTGTTCTAATTTTTATGCTATGAACAATAATGAACTACATTTTACATAATATTTTGTGTAATTGCACAGTATTTTTATAGTATGAATTATTTAATTCCATAGGATAAATAAATAGGAATGGCTGTCACTATGCAATATTTGTACTTATGCAAGAATTTCTATGATTTCATAGAAATTAATTTTTTTCTACATAAAACAGTTTTTAAAGCTCTCTCATGCAAAACCTAAAGAGGGAAAAAATTAAAAGACTGTCTTAAATATTGCAAGTTGCCTGCAAATTACTTGACTTTGAGAGAGAATATTACATATGTTATTGAGCCAACCTCAGTGGTTCAGTGCTGGGCTATTCAAAGCGTGGGTAAGCATACTCACTGGTTACAACCTGGAGCCTATTGGAAATGCAGAATTTCAAGCCCTATCCCAGCCTCCTGGATCGGATGTGCATTTTAACAAGATCCCTCATGATTTCATAAGATCCTCCAATGCATATTAAGTTTGAGAAGCAATGTTTCAGTACATGATGTGAAACAAAATGAGACTCTCTTTTTTTTTTTTCAAATGAGAACATGGTCTGTAATGTCACATGAGTGTCCACGACCTTTGTAATATTTGTAGAGGCTATAAAATCAGAATTGCAATTGCTTTGGATGTTGGCTACTAATTATAAAACCTTAATAGCCAAAGAAATACTAATACATTGCTGTGCAAAAAGCTTACTTTCCAAAAGCATATTCACTTACCTCCTTAAGTCCACAGTATATTCTTGTAAAGTAATACGAGTAGGAGTTAGTCTGTCTGTTACACAGAAGCTGAGAAAGCTTGTGTGAATCCAGTCACAATGCCCCCAAGTTTGGTGAGATTGCCACAGTGCACGCTGCCTCAAAACTCCAATAATATTGGCAAGAAGAAAATCTTGGCAAGTCAAAAGCTGTATAATCAATTCCAGTTACCTAAATGGAGTATTGGGGAAGTATGAATAATCTAAATTCAACCTTCATCTATCTTTTTTCACAAAGGTTGATGGGGACTCAAACTATTAGCTGGAATTAAATTTCCTTTTTTTGAATGCCCTATTTACAGGTAGTAGAATTACCCAAAGCAGGAAGACAAAATAATAATAGTAATAATAATAATAATAATAATAAAAAGACAAACACAGGCAATCCACAACATACAACCACCTCTGTATCATTGGAAATTGGTTTCCCATTATATGTAAAAATCTCCATTCCTGGCCCCCCATGTGGTTATCTGGGCATTCTGATGAGTGCTTGGTGTGTGGGTGTTCCTAGGCAAGACTGTTTAGTTCTGTGAGTACTTCGTCGAGCTCAGTGCAGTTTGACTCAACCCCCTCCTGGAGAGGGAAGTCACAGATGGCCAGGAGGGAGCTTTTGACATGAATGGATATACTCATTCAAGTTCCTGTCTGAGCCAATCGGAGGCTGCTCTGTGGCTGTTGATCTTCCATGTCTTGCGTGGCATATGGGGCCCCCTGCGTCCTTCCCGCACGATGCCCAGTAATAGGGTCATGTGTGAGGAGAACCTGGCAGCCTAGCTGTAAAAAATGGCTGCACGATGCTTCAGCACATCTTTATCTTTTTCCTTTTGCATTTCCAGTTGCCACAATCTTCAGGCGGAGATTTCCCTTCTCCAGGAGCAGATCTCTCATCTACAGTTTGTGATTCATTCCCAACATCAGAACCTGCGCAGTGTCATCCACGAGGTCAGATTAACCACGTGTGTTTCTCTGGTAGATGGTATGCTTACAGTAAGAAGACTGAATACAGGCAGCTTGCCTGGACTTTACAAGCAGTGAGATTTTTCTCCCCGCTGACATTTCCTTTTTCTTCCCATGTAACGCGACTCTGTTTTCAATGCCTTCTTCGGTCTGTATGCCAACCCCTGTAGTCTTCTCAATGAAGATATTTGGGAAATTGTGTTTAACTGCTCTTTAGGTTTCAGTGTTGTTGTTGTTTTTTTTTTAAGTGTTCCGGGCCAGATAATGTACACTGTTCTTTAGAAGATTTTGGAGATTACAAGATTCAGCCCTTTTTGAGGAAGCAAGGATCTGTTTTTATAACGTCACAAACAGTAAATTTACTTAGTAGGGTGTGTGGGGACGGGGGTGTCGCCTGGCCATTCTTTTCTGGGAACATCCTGGCAGGTGAAAGAAAGGCTGGTGGCAGACAGATGGATGGTGGATTGTGAACTCATACGATTTACTTCAAGAATTCTGTGGATCTGGTTCAGGGGCTGTGCTTTCGACCTAAAATCAGACCTTCACTCATTTTTTACTACCTAATATTTGTTTCCAAAAAGAGTCCTTTCAGATGTACCATTTGGCTAGGACCTCACCAAAAGGCCAGAGAATTGAGTCATGGCACTTGGGAGCCAGGAAGGATGTAGGGGGGCAGCCCACGTTCTCCTTTGACAGATGAGAAAACAGAGGCTCGCAGTAGTTAAGTGACAGGGCTGGTAGTGGCAGAACCTGCCTTAGAACCTTTGGGTTTCCTCTCTTCCCACTCTGTTCTGGTCATCACCCCACCTCCCCAGTTGCACACTGCTTTTTGGCAGATGCTTTTCTTCCCAAGCAAAGCCGGCTCACCTCATTATGCTGCGGGTTGACCAGATATCTGCCCTGGGGAGCTTCCCCATTCTGGGCGGTGGCCTTGTGTGATGGCCAGGCCTCTGCATCGGCAGTATGAAAGCACTGTGTGTCGGAAACACAGAAGGATGGCCAAAGCTGCTCTCCACAGGAGGCATGCCCACGGGGTTTGGTTTAAACAGGTTTTCCAAAGATTACAATGTTTAATAGGACTGCCCACACGCTCTCATCTCCAGGTGCCAATTTGCCCTGCTCTTTTCTATAACCTACTGAATCCGCTAATGCTTTGGGATTTAATTTTTTTATTTGATGGATGTCAGTGGACCACAGAAACCTGTGCAGTGTCTGACTTAAGTAACTTCCCTGTTGTCTGACAAGATTTTTCCAATTGTGTTTCCTAATTCTTAGATGGAAGGATTAAAAAATAATTTAAAAGAACAAGATAAAAGAATTGAAAATCTGAAAGAAAAAGTTAACATACTTGAAGCCCAGGTAAGGAGGGAGTCTGTTGTATAGTTCAGTGTAAATGTGAGTGTGTGTGTGTGTGTGTGTGTGCGCGCGCGCGTGCACTTGGTGTATCTGTGAACCTGTGTATGAATGACACAGTGAGTCTGTATATGGGTGGGCGTGTGTGTCTGTGTGTGATTGTGCCTGAGTATGTGTGGGTGTACATGCATGTGTCTGTGTGGGTATATGAGTGTCTTTTTGTGAATGTGTGTGCATGTGCATCTTCTATGCATAAGAAATTATAGATTTGTGGGAGAGGTACTCCTAATAATTATTGAAGTATTAAACGTTATTTTATAATATTAAATTATTAGTATTAAATATTATGAAATAACTGTTAAAAGTTCATCCAAATTTTCCAGAATGCGTGCTCTACTGGGGGGACACATCTGTCCATGTGGACTTGAATTAGAAGTTCGCTCAAGACCATCTTGGGTGAATTCAGCTCTGGCCCGATGGCTGGGTTTGCTGTCTTACGTCTTTGTCTCCTTCCCGCCCTGAGATGTCCTGTTTCCTCCTCTTTCCTCACTCACACCCATCGTCGCTTGCACGATTTGCCTCAGGGCTCATCCACGTCAAGAAGCCTCTTGTAGCTAATGCCCTATGATATACAGGGAAGTTGTTAAGAGGGTAAATCCCAAGAGTTCTCGTTATGAGGGGAAGAAATTTTTTTTCTCTTCTTTCTTTTCTTTTTATTGTATCTATTTGAGATGATGGATGTTAGCTGAACCTTTGCGATAATCATTTCACAATGTATATAAATCAAACCGTCCTGCTGTACACCTTAAACGTACACAGTAATGTATATCAATTGTTTCTCAATAAAACTGGGATAAAAGGAAAAAAAAAAAAAAAAAAAAAAAGAAGCCTCTTGTAGTTTTATTTTTCAGTGTTTTGAGATATAACATAACACTTTATAACTTAGTGTGATAAGGCGTGCTTTTCTTCCTGCCCACTCCTTCCCCTCTACACTAGGGAAGCCCTTTATAGGCTTTCAGCTGCAGGCCGCGGCTTGGCAGCGCCCTGCCTCCCAGGAAATGCAGCAAAGCCCACTGGGGCTGGAGCACCTGACGACGCCACCCTGCCTACCCCTGGGCTCTAGCTGGTGCTCAGTGCTGCCGCCTCTGCCTCTCTCAGAGGCTCTTCACTGACTGCCTGGGCCTAGTCACCTTTTCTCCTTCATTCTGTAGTATTTCGACCTCCTGCTTGTCCCCCTACCACACTGTCCTGTCCTGGGGAATCAGAGATGCTCTGACTGCCACCAGACACCTCATCATCCTTGGGGACTTTTCTCGTCCCCAGGATAGACCACGCCCCCAGCGCACTGCCCCACCTTTTCTCTCACCACCTGTTCCCTCAGTTCTCCCCAGACCGAGGAACAAGTCATCCTAACATAAAGAGGTGGTAAATAGTTCTACATCTTAAATTTTGTAACCAGAGCCGTGGTGTGCCAATTCTCCCTTCCCAGAGGACCGCTGTTCTCTCTCTCTTCTGGAGGGTGACCCCTTTGAGCCTCAGACTTTCCTTAGATTTTCACCTTCTTTTGGCTACACATGGCTATTTGAGAAAGACCATGCTTGCAGCTCTGTGCAGCTGAAAAATGCAGGGATGGGGGAATAATTGGCTCAAAACTCGTGTCCACTCAAGTGCCCAGTAATGGCTGCTCAGTTTACATTGAGGGGTTCAGATGATGGGATTCAGACCGCATTAGAGCCTCTTCCTCCCAAAAAAATGTCCCTACAGGGATTTCCTCACTTCTTTTTGTACTTAGTGGCTTTTTTTTGGCAAATGTTACTTGATAAAATATTTTTCTTATATTATTTTTATGTAAGTAATATATATTCATTCATTCCATACCAGTTAGGAAATACGGATAAGTACTTATAATAAGAACATCACGCAGACTTGCCATCCGTGGGTAATCACTCTGCACAGTTGTGTCCATCTGTATTTCTGTGGGACTCGATGTGCCTGTTCCATACCTGTGTGTATGTATTACATGGCATAATATTATGCCCGTTTCATTGTATTTTTAAGCTTCATTCATTTGTTCACATTATCAATCTTGTTGTTAATCCTCTAAGTACTTATTGAGTGGCTACTGTGGTGTACAAGTTTGGAAACTGACTAAGTTGGGGAAGTGGCTAAGTTTGGGAAATCGGTATTGGACAAAAGGGACATGAGCCCCGCACTCTGGAATTGACTGTCTAGAGAGGGAGACAGACACATAAATGAACATGTAACTAGCAGTATTATGGAAGCATTCTGCAAGGAAAGAACAAGATGTTCTGACAGATAATACCTAGATGGAGGACTTAGCTTGGTGGGTGGGAAGAAATTCTCTAAGAAAATGAATTTTAATCTGAGCCTAGTGAAAAATTGGGTGGTAGGGCTTGTCAGGAAGAGGGACAGGGAGCCATTGTGAGTGCTTCTAATCGAAGAGTTAGATGGAATAGTATGGGATGATATTGGAAAGGTAGGAAGGGGCTGGGTCATAGACCATGCCAAAGAGGTTTTTTTTCTCTATGTAACAGTATAACAAGAAGTCTTTGCTTACCAATCAGATTACATTTACGTTATCTTTTAAAATAGCCACTGTATTGATATACAATAATTTAATTAACTGAGTCCTTGTTATTGGACATTAGATTGTTTTTTGGTATTGCTTTTGTAACAGCACTGAATTCAACATATTTATACAAACATCACTGATCACTTGTATATTTACTTCCTTCCTTAAGATAAATTTTTAAAAGTGGAATTGGTAACTCAAAGTATATCCATTTTTCAGGTTTTTGATAATGTGCTCTCTGACTCCCAGGGTTCTGCTGGATCAGTCATCTCTCTTAGCAACAACAGCCTCATCTGCAGCTGCCTCTGCTCTAGAAGTCAAGTTTTTGCTCACTTTCAGTCCTTCAGTCCTGATATTTCTGATCTGCTCATAGTCTTATTTTTTCCTCTCCATTACTAGGGATTTTAATAGTTAGAAATCCCTTGTTATTATTGTTTTTTTAAAGATTTATTTATTTGAGAGAGCAAGAGAGAGTACATGAGAGGGGGGAGGGTTAGAGGGAGAAGCAGGCTCCTCGCTGAGCAGGGAGCCTGATGCGGGACTTGATCCAGGGACTCCAGGATCATGACCTGAGCCGAAGGCAGTCGCTTAACCAACTGAGCCACCCAGGCGCCCCTCCTTTGTTATTATTTTAATAAAATCTAAGAAGGGAGAGATGATAAACACATGTGCTCAGGTTCCCTTTTTGGACTGGGAATCCCATTTAAATCCAAGTTTATGTGTAATTCAGGAAGCTTGGTGTGAGGTAGGGATCTAACATTGTAGTTGTCTCACTTTATTGAGAAGTCTGGCCTTTCTTCATGAATTTGAAGTGCCTATTATCCTAGACTGAGTTTTTATGTTGGAAATCTCTTCCAGTGGTGTATCTGCCTATTTGGGCTCCAATGCCCTACTGCTTTACGCATTGCACATTGGTCACACGTTTTAATTGGAGATATTGTTGATCCGTCTCTGAGCTTTCACTTCATTGTGTTCTAGCCAGACATAATTAAGTGCCAGCTATCATCACAGGATCCAGGTATCAATGGTACTGCTGCTTTTAATCCAGGTTTATGTCCTTTAGTTGTGTCTGTTTATTTATATCATCCCCAAAATAAATGTTACCATCCTAAACAGGCTGGCAAGTTAACTCAGATTGCTCAGGTACAGTACATTATCCAATTGGCCTTGTGGTCTAATAGTTAGACCGGAACAATGTATTTGTTTCCACTGTACTCTGTTTCTGTATTTCCAAATGCAGCAAATAATTGCTGATTAGCTACTCAGTGTTATATGTGAGAAAGCAACAGATTTGTTCCCTTCGTGGGAACTTCTTGGTTAATTGTAGACTCTGTGCAGTGATGTGCAAACACCACTCAATACTATCTCAGATTCTCTGTACGTAGCTCGATTCAAGCCTCTATTTTTTAATGTGTTCTTTCATAAAAGAGTCTTCAAACTATAGCAGTATCTGACGAATATCTTTATATTCTCAAAATTTCTTATCTTCGGTAAATAAATCTTTTCCTTCACAGCAAGGAGTTTTACAATGACCATTTCAGCTTTAAAAAAAGTCCAAGCTTCATCAATTTAATTGATTCATCAAATAGTTTTGTGTGTTTATGACGTACTGGGAAATGTTTCCAATGCTGGGTATGTGGGTAGTGCACAGAACAGACTGTCCCCGATCTCCTCTAGCTTATTAATTGAAGATACAGATAATAAACACATAAACAAGTAAATAAACAATTTAATAAGGGAGGGACAAGTACTCTGAAAAGTGTAGAATGTGACAATGGATAGTTATAGAGTGATGGGAGTCAGGAAGCGCATCTTTGAACCTGTGATATTTTACCAGGTACTTGAATTTGGTGAGTGTTTGAGCCATGGTTAGCCTGTTTCTAGTCTGGTCCTAATCAGTGCTTTATTATGAAGTTCTTAAACTGGGGTGATTTATGCAGGGATATACTATCTTGCACTGCAAATATAAGACCACTGCCTATTTTGGAATCCATTAAATCACAGGGTGAATTGATTCCATTTATGATAAATGGTCACCCAAACTTGAACAACCCATTTAAATGTGCTTCTAAACCACACAGACAGCATCATCCATACCAAAAACATTCATCTCTTTTTAGGCATTCTACATGCTTCATTTTATTTAGTCTTCAAGATTACTCTTGGAGAAAATTATCTATTACATTTTGTAAGTGATTAAACTGAGATCCAGAGAAGTTAAGAAACTTGTTCAAAATCACTCATTTGAGTCTTATTGTCTTGGAAGCACAGGCTCCCGTCCTCCCATCACCACCACAAAATCTGTTCATTGGAGTGATTAAATAAGGGTGTGTTGGGGGGAGTAAGTGTGTATGTGCATGTGCATATGTGTGTGTGTGTGTGAAATACATGTGTGTGCATACAATATGTATTTAGAAATGAAGAGTTATTAAATTTGCCTGACCATTTACATTGATTTTAGTCATTTTCACAGTTACTATATTACAGTGTTTTGAGGCATAGTAACAAATCCTTTTTTTCTGTGGCTCTCTTTCTATCCTAGCAGGGTTTTTTTTCCCCCTCTCCAGAAGGGAGACATATTCACTCATATAACTCTATCCTTTAAAACAGCAACAACGACAAGAACAACCTTAAAGTTTTTAAAACTTTTAAAGATATCAATGGAAGATTTCTGCTTAACTCTACCAAAATTGTTTACTGTTCTTTCTATTTTTGCCATATCTTTATCACCTTCATTTTCATCTCTGACATTCCTCTCACATCTCATGCGTTTCTAGCTTCCTCACAATGATGGGCTGATATGGAAATACGTCTTCAGAAATTCCTCCATTTTCTAAACATTGAAGATTATCTTGTTTTATATACTCACCGTGATCCCTAAAATTTAATTTAACAAGAATGTATTGATAGAAAGGATGCAAAAAGTAGGTTCTTTTGGAAAACTGCGTCAATAAACTGTCCTTGGACAGTCATCGTAATGGCAGACGTATTCTGGTCAGTGATTTGTAGTTTTGTAAAGTAATGATGTAATAAAACTCATGGATATGGCTGTTCTAATGAAAGGAAAAACTATGAAAATGAATCAAAAATAAATACCTAAATCTAGCAGCTGAAATAAATCAGCATGGACATTGAGATAAATGAACATAAAGACAGTCTAACATGATAACTCTTATGCTTTTGTATTGTTTGATACTCAGCAACTTGAGAAACTAGGAGTTTGTTTTGGAAAAACTCCCAATAGCCTTTACGCAATTGTCCAGCCTGGATTATTTTTATTCCCGTATTTGTTGTCATCAGGATGTTATGATTCATATCGCTTCCTAACTTGTAGAGTATTGTATAGAGACGGGTTTTTCTCAGGAACATACTTGGCCTGTGATATGTGCCTACACTTGTTTGGAGTGCATATTAGCTTTATCTCCATTACACAAGGAACATCTTTATTATCAATTTATCAAATGTGAAGTACATTTCCTGTGTGAGACTTAAGTGCTTGACTCTTGAAACATCACAGCAAAAAGATCACTGTGTGTGAAGATTTTTGCTCCATTTTTTAAGTTATTATGCAGCATAGATGCTGAAGGATAAGAAGGGGCAAAATCCACATCTTGTCTCTGGTTTCCCTACTCCGGTAGTTCTTCTTCTTCTTCTTTTTTTTTTTTTAAGATTTTTATTTATTTATTTGACAGAGAGAGACACAGTGAGAGAGGGAACACAAGCAGGGGGAGTGGGAGAGGGAGAAGCAGGCTTCCCGCTGAGCAGGGAGCCCGATGCGGGGCTCCATCCCAGGACCCCCGGGATCATGACCCGAGCCGAAGGCAGACGCTTAATGACTGGGTATTTCTTCATCTTAGTGGCACATTAGAATCACCTGTGGAGTCTTGAAAACTTTTTTTTTTAGAGATTTTATTTATTTTATCTTAGAGAAAGTGGAGGAGGGCAGAGGTCTCAAGCAGATTCTCAGCTGAGCATGGAGCCAGAAGCAGGGCTCAGTCCCACAACCCGGTGTTGATGATCTGTGCTGAAACCAAGAGTCAGATGCTTAACAGACTGAGCCGCCCAGGCGCCCCATGAGTCTTGAAAACTCTTGAACCCAGACTACAACCAAGTTAAATAGAATCTCTGGGGTGAGGCTCTAACATGAGTAGATTTTAAATCTCCCCAGATAGGGACGCCTGGGTGGCTCAGTCTGTTAAGCGTCTGCCTTCGGCTTAGGTCATGATCCCAGGGTCCTGAGAGCAAGTCCTGCATTGGGCTCCTTGCTCAGCGGGGAACCTGCTTCAACATCTCCCTCTACTGCTCCCCCTGCTTGTGCACACTCTCTCTCTCTCTGACAAATAAATAAATAAAATCTTTAAAAAAAAAAAAAGAAGAAGCTTTAATCTTCCCAGGTAATTCCAATATAAAACCAGCACTTTAGTCCAGTGGTTCTCAAATGTGAGTTGTCAGAATCATCTGGTGAGCTTCTTAAAACACATCCCTTGGCCACCCTGTGTTTCTCAGTAGGTCTCGCTGTAGACTGAGGATCTGTAGTTCTAGAAGATTCCCGGGTGATGCTGATATTGCTGACATCCCGAGATCACACTTTAAGGACTGTTGTGTTTTTTTTTTAAGATTTTATTTATTTATTTGAGAGAGAGAGAATGAGAGACAGAGAGCACGAGGGGAAAGAGGGTCAGAGGGAGAAGCAGACTCCCCGCTGAGCAGGGAGCCCGATGTGGGACTCGATCCCGGGACTCCAGGATCATGACCTGAGCCGAAGGCAGTCGCTTAACCCACTGAGCCACCCAGGCGCCCTAAGGACTGTCGCCTTAGTCTTTTCCCCCCTTCGTTTCCACCTATGCCATTTCACTTTGTTTTCGAGGTCCAGGTGAAATCTCCTTGTGTATGAAAATGTTACAAAATTATTCTAGTCACACTGATTTCTGTTATACTTTTTATGTAGTAACTAATTACCTACTGCCTATGGCATCTCCTGAACCGCCTTTATTTATTTATATTTTTTAATGTTCACGTGTTTGTTTTATCACCCCCACTATACATGCATCCTGTGTGCTGGAGAGAGAGATCCATGTTTTCCTGTGCTTCTTCACATTTACTCTGCTCCCGGCTTGGTGCCATAGACATGGCAGAGACTGACTGACTGGATGGATGGATGGATGGTTGCAGTAGATTAATTGTGGATTAATTACCTGACAGTTTCCTTTTGTCTGTTTCATGTTTATCAGATCTGAAGTCCCTTTAGAAATCGTTGACTCTCTATGTCCTCCTGGGGCTCGCCATTTACTTATTTGTAATATAAGGAGGCTGGGCTAATTCCTATGGTTACAGAAAAATAACATCTTGCAGGGAAAAGAGCATAGGATTTGGAGTCAGGCCTGCATAAAGCCTGCACATTTATACAGAATGGGTGATCAGAAACAAGTTACCCAAACAATTTGAGCTTTGCCGGCCTTATTTCTTTAATATGCGTAAGAGTAAAAGTCATCAAAGAAAAGATGTATGGAAAGCACCTGGCAAAGGTCTTGACATTTGCTAGGCACTCATAATTATGAACTCTCTTGCTTCCATCAAAATTCTAACATCTGTTTCCCCAAACCATGCACTTTGGTGTTGGCTTACTTCAAACCATCAGGTGGACTTTTAGGAAATACGTTTTAAACTTCAATTTTATGACTCTTTATTTAATGCCTTAGTTTCCTACTAGGGATCAGAGCTGGTGTGTTACTGTCCTTTGTAGGCCAAAGCTCCACCTGTCAGCCTCCCACCCAGCTACCTTCCAGTCCCAGCCCCTGCTATTCTGGTGTATCCTTCAAACAACTCTGACCTGCCAGTGCGGCCCGCTGACAAGTCCACCCTGGGCATGATGCTTTGCTGTTTTAAGTCTCATGTTCCAGATCTGTGAAATCTGTGCTTGGTGTGGCCACACTGTAGAGGAAGCATTGGCTCTGGACTGGGAGGACCCGACTCTGAACCTGAGTTCTGCCATGAACAAGATGTTGGGCACTTAAGCTCTTTGGATCTCAGTCTTTAGCTATAAAAATGGTACCTGGACCAGAAAATCATAACCAACTGTCTTTAAGTCTTAAAATCCTTGCCAAACACTGAGCTAAGTACATATTAATATCTCATTTCAGAACCTGTGAAGAAGAGACTGTGATTCTAGCATACAGATGAGGAAATTGGGTGCAGAGAGGTTAAGTAACTGAGGTCACGTAGCTACTGAGTGGCTAGGATTTGTACCTGAGAACTTAAACTCTTTCCTTCCTTATTATCAGCCATTGCATTATTTCCTAGAATTATGAGAGTGCTCCCAGATTTAAAATATTATGATCATATGAGATTTGTTTCTTCCAACAACTAATACATGATAGGCAAGATGTGTATCATTTACCACTAGCATAGAGAACAAGAAATTTAGGCTTCAGTGAGAAAATTGAGGCTAAAAATGCCATGAACTATAAAGAATTGATGGTGCTTATTTTCATGGAGTTTATAATCAAGAGATTGCACAAGAACGACAAACTTGTAATCAATATCATGGGTGTCTTTAACAAGGTTCTTTAATGAAGTTATTTTATGAACTTTGCATCTGTCTATGTAAAATCGAACATAGTTCAGCTGTTAAATTTCAGAAGCTCACGTAGACTACTCCACTTCTATGCACTTTTCCAGGTGTGTCTGTAATTTCAGAGATAATAGGGACTCTCAACTGGCTGCATTCTGTGTTCTAATAGAGTGACTGAAACAACGAGCTTACTGCCAAGGAATGATGTAGGTGGTGGGTTGATCAGAAGCATTAAGCATGTGGTTAATAAATGTGCTACGTATGTAATCTCTGCACATTTTTTTTCAACTTTAGAATAAAGAACTAAAAACCAAGGTGGCGCTTTGGTCTGAAACGCCTAGGACAACAGTATCTAAGGCTGTCTCTACAAGGTAAGGTTTTCCTTCCCCCCACCGCCATCTGCCTTCACAGCTTCTGTTGGACATTCATTCATGAATGTTGACGTTTATCCCACTTGAGAAATATTCCAATCTATTAATACTTATGTAGTAATCATTGGTTTACTGTTTCCCAGTTCTTGAGAAGAAGACCTGTGTTATTTGTTCATCATTGAGCCTAACATAGAAATACTTACTGAATAAATGAGTGAATAAATTTAGATATCTTTTCTTGCTTTGTGCCATAAAATAAGCCTAGTCTTGCTTCAACACTTTCTCCAAGCAGCACACATCATTTCTTCTCTGTTGTCCTTGTTTCTCCATTTACTCCTGTGTTCTATAGCATTGATGAGCGTATTAATTATAAATTGTTTGTATTTATTTAAATGTCCACATCTGTATCTCAAACCAGGTAGATTGTCAATGTCAAGAAGGCAGGAATAGTTCCTTGTATTTCACTTTATTTCCTGCATTGCTAAGGGCAAGTGTCTTCAGTAACTACCTAATAATGACTGAATCAAGCAATGACAATGGCCCACGACAGCAATCAAAATGATGGTTGAAACCATCAAAGTCACTTTCTAATGGTGACAGAATCTGAAATGACAAGTTGTAAAAAAAAAAAAAAAAGACCTCTGGGCTCAAATCTTATTTCCATAATACTCTATGAAATTATCACTTAAAAGAAAACATAGTCTGTAATTACATGAATCATTTAAAAAGTGATTAAAAACTTCCTGTTCTAGCAGCTTTTGAATTTCCCAGTCTAGTCCCTCTAGGGCAAAAGCCTGTTTTCTGCAACTCACCTCGGCACAGTGCCTGAGGTAGAAAATCAGGCCTGCTGTGATCAGCCTCAGTTCAGGAAATCAGGTAGATCCATCTTCCTCTTCAGAATTCCCTGCAGCCTTGCTTCACTTTGCTAACGATGTATGTAATTAGAGACGAGATGAAGCCATTCTGAATCAAGGCTTCTAAAATCCTTGGGCTCCCAGAGGCTAAGTTATCAACTTTTTGGCCACTGGCCCTGCAGCTTCCAATAAAGAAAAGAAACTAAGCCCCAGAAAGATTAAAGGAGGAAGTGAATACCCACGATTCAGAAGCAGTGAGAGTAGTCACTTAAGTGGGGGAAGAAATGGAAGAGTCCAGAATAGAAGGGCAAGCATGACTTCCCAAGGGAAAGGAAGGGGATTGCTTTGTTGTTCCCTTACCAGATACCAGTCCCCTTGGGGTGGTAGGGCATAGTGGCCCTCCTCAGCTGTTTTGATCCTGTAGGGAGTGCAGCCAGAGTGGAGTAGAGGAGGGAGAGTCTGGTTGTCTCTAGATTGTAACTACTCCAGTGTGGAATGCGGAAACTCTAGCCCGTGCAGAGGGAAGGTGCTGGAGAGAATGACTTCTACCGCCAATTCTTTAGCTGTAGTAAAGTAATTGTTCAGGTCTTTTAGTTTTAAAGATAGTTTTTTCTTCCTATGACTTGGTAGATCTCATCTTTGTAAGATAAAATATGGCCAATTGGCTGCTTTGAGAATGTAAGCAGTAGTATGATTAGGGAAGTCTGGGTTCACCCATAGGCAATGGAATTATAACTCAAGGGAGAGACTGGATTAGAAAAGTAGCTGGTAAAGGGGAAAATAATCATGTACATTTAAAGATTAATCCAGGCAAATTTCTTTAATCACCCATAAAATGTAGCTCTATATCTCTAAGTACTACAAAGCAAGGTGTTTCCCTTGAGCATTAGAACATAGAGATATTTCTTGAACACCGGAAGAAGTGTTTGCTGGAGATTCGGGGTCATGTTCTTAGACAACAACAACAGAACACACATAGAAGCCTGTGTGTGTGTGTGTGTGTACACTTACATATACATACATGTATATTTTATTTTTTTTAAGATTTTATTTATTTATTTGAGAGAATGAGAGAGAGCACGAGAGGGAAGAGGGTCAGAGGGAGAAGCAGACTCCCCGCCGAGCAGGGAGCCCGATGAGGGACTCGATCCCGGGACTCCGGGATCATGACCTGAGCCGAAGGCAGTCGCTTAACCAACTGAGCCACCCAGGCGCCCCATACATGTATATTTTAAATACTAGAATCACACATTGAGGAGAGAAGTTCAGACTGAGAAGCCCACAGAACTACAGTGTCCTAGCAGAAGGGCTGATTTGCTTCCTGTCTCCAAGTCACTCCAGTGCACGTCTTCACTCTGTGGAATGGCAGACACAGGCTCTCTCTCTCCCCTCCCCTCACTCTTCCTCACTCTTGTCCTACTACAACTAGTTGAACTGACATAAGTTTGACGCTTCCACATGTGATTCTAGTATGTCTCATGGGAAATTAGAGTCAACCAATTAACCACCGCATCTCTTAGGTTAAAGCAGTTAGTGCAAACTGGGTAGTAGAGCGGTGGTGGAGATGGTAATCATGGTGATACAGCACTTACGTTACGAAAATTTAATGTGCTCAATTTCAATAATGGTATGGTCTTTTCTACAGTGAATTGAAGACTGTCGACACTACGCCCTATTTGATGTTGATTAGGCTCCGGAAATGAGCTGACTGGCTGAAGATCTGAATGAGAAAGATTGCTACGTGGGTCTTATTTATTCCTTGAAACACAGCCTAAACTTGCATGTTGAAATGGCTCGATGCCAGCATTCAATGTATACATCAACAGCTTTGCAGGAAGACGACATTCCAGAAAATCAAACGAATATATATTCAAGGGAAGGAACTCTTTCTTCAGAACTTAATGAAATGGGTGAAGAGACCAGGGGCTTTCAATGGAAAATGAGTTTTGCTTTAAATTTAAAGATCTGAATCTTTCTTGCAGATTTTTGCTGAAGGGAGTGGTTTAAGGTTGTTGACAGTGACTTTTTGATAGTGGTTTTTATGTATATAAATGGAAGAGTGTATGTGTAAATGATATATTTTAAAGTTCACTTTGGATAATAAAAAAAATATCTAACATGAATTTATAAATTCACCTCCTGACCCAGTGTTCATGGGAGAGTTACTGTATTATGGGCGGGAGAAGGAGTAGGTTCTGTTTAGCTAATTCCCCAACCCACATAACCCTCCAAAGCTGAGAATCATGGCGTCTCACCACACCTGAGGAACCCATTATTCTTCAGTTGGGATTGAAAATTGGTTGCTAGAGACAACCCACAAATAAGCACAAAGAAATGGAGCTTGTGGCTCTCTCTGGCTTCGTGACTAATTTTCTTAGATTCATTATATTATCTGCGACGATCTTTGGAGAGAATAGAAACACAATGCTATCAGCTCACACCTTCATAAACATGCTGTCTGCAGCCAGGAAGACTCTGACTTCATGAATTGGAATTAAATGTCCAGTGCTTTGGTGAGAGTGTATTTACATTTTGATATGGGCATTCATCACAGGTGGAGTCTGGGATTGCTGTGAGGAAAACCAGACTCTGATTTGCAGAAATGCAAACATGTTGACCCTCCAGAAGAGAACACACTTCAACTAAAGGAATAATGGGCAGCCTTAGCCCCAAGGAAGGCTGAATTACTTGTAAGCCTTTTGATGGTCCTCTCAGGTGTAGGACTGTAAACATTTTTTCAGGAAAGATGCTGGAAACCTTTCAATGTGGAATGTGAAATAGCAGTGTTATCTATGAAATATTTAAAAATACATACAAATGAGATAAGTAATGTATTTATAAATTCATCAAAGTACTGTAATCCTTGGGGCACCTGGGTGGCTCAGTCGGTTAAGCAACTGCTTTTGGCTTGGGTCATGATCTCAGGGTCCTGGGATTGAGTCCCGCATCAGGCTCCCCGCTCAGCGGGGAGTCTGCTTCTTCCTCTGTCCTCTGCCTCCTCCCCACTGCTCATACTGTCTCTCCCTCTCTCTCAAATAAGTAAAATATTTTTTAAAAAGTACTGTAATCCTTGAAATGTTGCGTAATTGTATGTGTGCATTTCATGCTTCACGTTTTTATTGCTTGCTAGTTTTTCAAATGTAGTTATCAAATAACATCTATGGCACAGTTCCTATACCAGGAACAATTCTAAGTACTTTACCTGTATTAATTACTTTAATCTTCCCAACAGGCCTCAAAAGTAGGTCATATTATTACTCCCATCTTCTAGGGGTGGATACTGTGAGGTCCAGGACTTTTCCCTGCTGCTAATGATGGAGCAAGGATTGGGACCTCTGACTTGGCTATCAATAGTCCTTCTGTCTGCTCACTTGGTGGTCTGAGATATTTCCACAATTTAGAAATACCTCTTTTTGTTCCTTTTAAAACACAGCTTCCTTGTTGGCTATGTGCATTATCCCATGAATGACACTCAGAAATAACCCTGACTCAGAGAGTAAATATTTTGCTACAATGAAGTTGGCCTTTCACCTGTTGGATTACCCTCGTGCAAACTTAATTCAGAAAAACTTCCCTGCTAAAACTCTTCAAATTCTACATTTATTATCATGACCCTTATGCCACATGGAAGATTTTTTGGTAGTATATTTTCGGCACATTTGTAGAGAGATTGGGATCATGAACTCTGTCAAGCATTTGCAGTGTGGTAGGCAAATTCGCCTTTCACCTGGAGACTACTTAGGGTTCATTTTACACTCCAATCACCATGCAGGTTGGTAATAAATGTGAGAGTTTGGAATGGATCCATCTAACTGAGCTAACAACTAGAATGATTCCCATTAGAATAATGTATTCTAGAGTCAAAAATGGGAAGACACTGTTGGATTTAATTTAGGTTTAACTCTGCTCACTTTTGAATATGGAAGTATACTGGACATGATACAGCTAGGACCAGGTCATGTGCTCTCCACATTCACCCTGGAATTGCCTTTGGATTTCCTGAGAATAAGAACAAGCAGTTTCAGAAGCTTAAGAAGGTCCAGACTCTTCAAATACAAAAGTATGTTTTTAGTAGCATCAGCAATATCATTTATTTGTCATATGTGGATCATGTCCTATATCTTTATTGTTTCAGCTTTTATGATTTGCAATGTTTTTTGAATAAATATTTCTGAGCGATGAAACAAATGATCATAGTGGAGAATAAAAAGCATTAACCTAAAAGTAGTACCACAAGAGAAATACAGGAAAAGAAACACCAGTTTAGTTGTAGTCTAAATAATTGTCCTTATAATTATACTAATCAAGATATTAAATAAGAAGGTCTGAGGTGGACCTTGAAGTGAATACAGGAAGGTGGAAAATAAAAAGAAACTTTGTTTCACTTTGATTACATACTATTACAAATTATCATTAAGAAATGTTTAAGCAACAACAAAATGTCTAAACAATTGGTATAATACATATATCTTTTGAATAATTGCTTATGGTATGCCTCACAATAAAGAAATTTATATCATTTTATTTTTTATTTTTACATGAAAATTATTATGCATAAGGGAATTAAGTCATTTTTATTTGATTGTTCATGACAATATAACCCATAGTAAATGGATTGTTTTTGCCAGTGAACAGATACTTAGATAGCTCCCTGAATTTTCCGTTAATTTTCCCTGAATCCAAATTAATGGAAAAAGTAATCTATTAAGTTTTTATTCTGAATTTGAAAAAATAATGGCATTATTATAAAATTAAGAACAAACACATCTCTCAAACATTTTATTTCTTTATTTTGAAAATATTTACCTCTCCTCTGAGCTGGGAATAATTGTAGAATCCTATCAATATTGAAGTAGGAACCCAATCCATCAGGAACTGAAAATTCCTCACTAATGTTAGCATTATCATTCCCGCCCCCCACTTCCTCCCTTCTGTACTTCCTTCCTTCTTTTATTTTTTTAGTGGGAAATATTCAAGATGCAATAAAGATTTAAATAACATATTTAATTGCTGAAGTATATACTTATAAGTGTTAAAAATTGAACTAGAATTACAGAAAGTTGGGATTTATCCTAAGCATGCAAGATTGTTTTATCATTCGAAAATCAATGTAATTAACCATATATACATAATAAAGAAAAGCCATATAATTGTTTTAGTAAGTGAAGGAAAGTATTTGATAAAATTCAGCACTCATTCATAATAAAAACTCAGCAATCTGGGAATACGAAATTTTATCATTCTGATAAAGAGCATTTACAAAAAAGCCTTCAATCAATATAACTAATGATGAAAGACTAATGCTAAGATGCTTGCTCTCACCACTTAAACATTTACTGTAAGTCCTAGCCATTAGAATGTCAAGAAAAAGAAAAAGGAAGAAAAGGCATACAGATTGGAAAGGAAAAGTAAAACTGTCTAATGTTGTTCATATAATTGTTGATGCAGAAAACTTCAATGAATCTACCAAACAGCTACTAGAACTAATGAGTAAAATCAACAAGGTCACAGATCACAAAGTTAAAATAGAAAACCCAACATAACAATTTGGTATTGGTGAAAACATAGACAAATATATAAGTGAATGGAAAGGAGAATCCATAAATAGAGCCATCTATGTGATTGATTTTTGACAAAGGTGTCAAGGCCATCAAAAGGACACAGGAAATTCTTCTAAATAGTGCTGAAAATACTACAAGTTTTGTATGTGAAAAAAAATTAGCATCAATTCTTATCTCACACAATATATAATAATTCACCTGAAATGGACAATATACCTAAACGTAAAGCTAAAACTATAAAATGTCTAGAAGATAAGGTAAGCAAGATACTTAAATAGCACACAAAGAGCACACCATAAAAGAAAAAAATTGATAATTGGACTTGATTAAAATTCAAATACTTTGCTTTTTGAAAGATACCACTACACAAATTTTAAAAAGCAACTTACAGAATGGGTGAAAATATTCACATGTATAGGATTTGTATTCCGAATATATAAAGAACTTTTAAAACATAATGAGAAGACAAACCAATAAAAAATACTGGCAAAAATGTTTGGAGAGTCACTTCATAAAACAAGATAGACAAATTACAAATACACACATGAAAAGATGCTTCATCCATTTAGTTATCAGGGGAATGCAAATGAAAATCCCTAAGAAATAAGCACCGAACACACCTAATTAGAATAGCTAAAATAAAAAGCCTGGCCTTACTGAGTGTGTGGAACAACCAAATCATAGGCTAAAGGTGAGAATACAAATATGGTATAAGCACTTTGGGAAACAGGTTGTTTCTTTAAAAGTTAAATATACACCAGCCACATGACCTAGCCACTCCATTCTTCAGTTTGTTGCTGCTGTTGTTTTGTTTTTTTACCAAGAGAAACAACAGCTTCTGTCCACATAACAATGTGTATCTGAATTTTCATGGCAACTTTGTTTGTAATAGCCAAAAACTGAAAACAAAACAGATGTCCATCAACAGGTGAACAGGTAAACAAAATGCGGTACATCCATACTTGAGGATATAACTCAATAAAAAGAAACAAAAAGCACAAACAAATATATACAACAATGGATAATCATTATCCGTAGTGAAAGAATCTAGAGGAAAAAGAGAGGACATAATGTGTGATTCCACAGGGTCAGAGAGCAAATCAGTATTTGCCTGGGGACACGAGAAGAGAGAAGAGTGCATGGGAGTACAGAGAACATAGGGAGGGAACAGAAATGTCCAGTGTGTTGATATTGGTGATGGCATGGATGTGTTCCATGACAAAATCAATACCTTGTACAGTTTAAATATTTACTTCAATAAAGTAGTAAAAAAATTTTTTAGGTTAACACTATGTTATTCTCTAGCCACCCAATCAGGTTCTCACATAAGATTCATTCTTTTTTTTTTTTGTCTTTCAACAAATATTTATTGAGTGCCCTCTATTTGCCAGGCACTGTTCTAAATGCCAGGGGTATGATGGTGGAGAAAGAAAAGGGAATGCGTGTGTCAGGGGAGAATGAAAAAGGAA